CCTCTCCTCCTCTCCCCCTCTCCCCTTCCCCCTCCATTTCTGCCTGTCTCAACCCCCTTTCTCCTCGAAGGGGCCGTTGGGAGAACAAGACCAGTGCGCTCCCCACAGGATGGAAGTTCGCCTGCGCCCGAGAATCCCACCAGCGAACCGAGGACAGGTGGGTCGAAACCGGGCTCAAGCTCACGGGAGAAGTCGCCGGAAGGCAGTCGTGGCACTGGTGTGGGACAGACGCCGGAGATGACGCGTTGCTTGGTGCAGCAGATGAAGCGCCGACCTTCAACCCATCGGTCAATCCCAACTCTGGCGATAAGATTTTTCGGGCTCAGCAGGTGAGACGCGACGACGGGTATTGGCGGACCGCCTTCGCGAGAAATTAAGTTTCACGAGGAAATAAAACGGGGAGGGGGACACGCAGACCCTAATCCCTATCCCTAACCCGAACCCAACTTCCCCGATTGTATGCTTTATCCAACATGTTTCCTTGATCGGTAAACCCTGCAAAGAGTGCCGGGGGTATGGCGGGCGGAGGTTGGGTGTTCTCGAGAACCGTTTCTTGACGGAACAGCATGCGTTGTACCCTGTCGAAGAGCCGAGTATCTCCAACGCGGTTTGTCTGGCTTCCGTCAAGCATGACTTTCTCTACATGTTCCCCTTGGCTGCCTGCCCACCAGTTATTCCTGCAAGGGCCAGGAGACAGCGACAGAGGGACACATGGGGAGGGGGAGGGGGTATGGTAGGTCGAGAGAGGTACTGGTATGACTCTGGGGGATGCGGCAAATTTGACATGACCAAAATCCGTGCAGTTCTCTTTACCCCGATCCGACACTACTGTCCTTCCCCGCAGTTTTGTGCTTACATCTTCTTTCGTTGTTGCCGCGCGCCTCTCGCAAACTACTGCAGTTCGACTGACTGAGCAAACCCCGGCATTCCACTGCTCCCACAGCGGCGCCTCTACTACATGGAACAGTTTCCAGTTCTCTCGGCGATTTTCCTTTCTCCTCCAAAAGCGTACGACAACGGGTGCCTTGGCATTCGCTGCCGTAGTCTGATCAAACGTGTAACTTCGTCGACGTCCCTGCTCTGTGGTGGTGTCACCTGTCGTTTCTGTGCCGGGAATTTGGATCAAACCCTTATCCGCAGCTGCGGAAGTGGAAAGGGCCGCGGCCGGACGAGACGGGGACGCCAAAGGACGCGTTGGGTGCCGCCAAGAAGGGCTTCGCATTTCATCAGGTGCGTTGTTTCTGTTGTTGTTGTTGACCGTCTTCACCGACATCGTCGTCGTTGCTATTGTCGTAGCTCGGGTTGTTGCTGTCGTCGTCGACTTCGCCGTCATTGCTACCCTTGTGGTGGTGGTCGTCGTGGCCGTCGTTTTTGTGGTTTTTTTGTTTGTGTTTTATTTTGTTGCTATGAGCAACTGCATCGGGATACGATCGACCCTCGTCAATCTGGTTGTTGCATGTGGCTGCTGAGCGCCTCCTGGTTCTGAACCATACGCTTGCACGTGCGGGTCATCGAAGCGCGCGTAGCTTGTTTTGAGAGCACCTCACGGAGATGTACACGTAGTTAGGCGTTGATAGGAACGTGGGTGGGCGATGTTGGTGTGCCCGGCACACAGCACGCAATGATCTTTGTGTGTTCATACTCTCTCTGCATTTTTGTCTGCATGTCTGTTCGGCTGTCTGTCCATGTCTTTTTCCGTGCCTCTCTGTCCTCCCTCTCTTCTCTCTCCATGCGTGTGTTGCTGGCTTTGTCCTGTCTCCCGCCTCTCTGTATGTCTGTCGATGTCTTTTGTCCTGCCTGCCTGCGTCTCTGTCCTCTCGCTCCTCTCTCTCGTTGTGTCTGTCTTGCCCACACCCCCACCCACCCCCCGCAGATGCTGCAGTGCGACGATGGCCACTGGGGAGGTGACTACGCAGGGCCCATGTTCCTGATGCCCGGTTTGATCGTCGCCTTCTACGTCACGGGGACGCCGCTGGGCGAGGAAAGGAGGGCGGGCATGGAGGCCTACCTGAGAAACCACCAGCAGGTGCGTTCGTCGCAAAATGTTCCACGGAGTTTCCTCATGCTGCTGCTAGAAACCACCAGCAGATGAATTCCTGAAGCATTGCTCCAAGAATATTCCCGCCGTCATTACTCGTTCGTGGTGCTTTGGTTTCGCCGGGGCAATATGTCGAAAAGGATCTCGTCCGCAGCAGCACCATGTAGTTCCAAGAAGAGTCCAACATCCAAACCCCAGACGTTTCTGTCATTTGATACACAAGGAATGTAGGTCACCATGAATTCGTCTATGATATGATCTTTCTGGTGTGTCCATGAGAGGTTGTTTGACCTACATTGCAAAACCGCGAGGATTTTGATGGAGTAGATGAAGAACACATGAGCCCTCGCAAGAGCATGTCTGTCCGGGAGCGAGGAACCGGTGATTTTTTTTTGAGTCAAACTGCCCCTCCCCATTGGCAGGGTGTAAAGCCCCCTCCCCGCGGCTCCTGTCGAGCTCTTGATTTTCTCTATCTAGATGCATACCCGTTTCTTATTTTTTGCGGTTGTGTAGTTCGTCGCCTCCCATATCCCAATCTTTATCCTGATCCACGTCACGTGAAGGGAGGCCCTACGTGGTACGGCATGCCAAAGGAAAGGGAAACTGCCGACAGCAGTACTCTCGCCCGTATGTGCCTCCGGAAGGAATTGAGTCTACCCCCATCCCACCGCCGTGGTTGGGTTGGGGGGTTACCAACAGCGGATCCCCCGACGGTTGGGTGGTTCCCATCAGGCAGTGAGGGGATGAGCGTCCTCGTTGCTCGTTGAAATATCAAGAAGACTTGTTTTTGGCGGGTGTTTTTGTTTGTACGTTAACTCGACAGGCTGACGGGGGCTGGGGCACCCACATCGAGTGCGCGTCGACCATGTTCGGTACAGTCCTGTCCTACATCTCGCTGAGGCTTCTTGGGGTCTCGGTCGAGGATGGCGCTTGCGCCAGGGGCCTCAAGTTCGTGAGGGAAAACGGCGGCGGGAGCATGGCCCCTAGCTGGGCCAAGTTTTGGATGGCCGTGCTGGGGGTGTACGAGTGGGAGGTGAGGAGTTGGGGGGCGCGCGGTTGTACTAAGGAAAGGCGTCAGGGTGAAGTAGTGGTCCCGCTATGGTGGCGGTAGCTGCCCGCCGCTTGAACCGGCACTATTGCGGGCAATTGACATTATCTTGGCATTATGTCGTTTCGGCCTGAACGATGCCGGTACTGCTCGGGGTCTAAGGAGCCCGCTATGTTGTCCGTACCGGCACTATTCAGGGAATTACGATTAAGTTCCCGGTGTTTGAACGTGCTGCGTCCAGCGCGATGCATTGACGAGACCCCCACTCCACGACCGGACGCACGCTCTGCTTGATTGATTGGTCGTGCGCTGCATCAGGGCATCAACTCCGTGCCCGCGGAGCTGTGGCTTCTCCCTCGCTGGTTCCCGTTCCACCCGTGGAGGATGTGGTGTCACTCCAGGATGGTCTACCTGCCCATGAGCTACCTGTATAGCACCAGGTGTGTGTGTGTGTCTTTATTTTTTGCATCGACCGCGCAACCCGTCTGACCAATGAAAAGACGTCGGACTCAGTGAGGTTGCGTGCGTGTGTGTGTGTGTGACTGATTTTTTACTTTGCACCGACCGCGCTGACCGCTCGACCAATGAAAAGACTTCAGTCTTGCAGCGAGATCAGAGATACGAACACTTGGTGATGAAATAGCAAGGGTTCTGTAGGGTCATAGGAGGTCAGAGTGATTTGTAGTGTGAAGACAGGAGGGAGCATCGCCAATGACAAGATCCCCCACAGCCAACTCCACGACCGATTACAACAGCAACAGCACCAAAAACAATCACCCCAAGTTACCGCTCGGGTGCTGCTGCTGTGGTTGACGCTCTCGTTTCCGGTCCTGGCTGCCTTTTTTTTTTTTTTTCATGTCGCTGTTTCGGTCGGCACCGTTTGTCGTCGCCGCTTCCTGATTGCTCAAGGTTCACCCACGACGCGAAGTCTGACCCGCTGTGCATGGCCTTGCGGGAGGAGCTGTACCTCAAGCGCTACGAAGAGGTGGTTCTTGTTGCTTGCTGCTGTCGATTCTGTAGGAACAGCTGACGCGCATCGGCATTGCTGAATCCGCCACCATCACCACGACGGCCAACCAACGATGTCAGCACTAGCGTGCAGACGGACGCCGGCAACCAGAAGATGCAAGACCGAGGGGTAAGGTGAACAGCAGCCTCAACACCTCGTCGACTTGTTTTTGTTCACAGGTGGACTGGGATGCCAACCGGCACCTTTGCTGCCCCATGGATGCCTACTCGGAGCTGCACCCAGCCATGCGCTTGCTGCAGAACTTGCTGGCTTTCTATGAGCGGTGGCTGTGCGTGGGCCCGTTGAGGTCAGTTGTTTGTGTAGCTATCGAACCGTACCGTATGCATTATTTCCATAATCCCGGCAATGTTTACCACGGTATCAACATTGGATACTTTTGTTTTCTCTTTTATGCCTGGTTACTCATAAGCTAACATCCGGAACAAACGCTCTGCAGGAAGTGTAGCTGCATTGGAATTTGCCACGGTGCTGGTATCTTGCTGTAGTAGACATATTACCTGTTTCCCTCTTTTCGATGAAGCCGTTCGTTCACCTCTTCTTGGTTGGCTGCTCGCTCTCCTTGGCGGGCTCTTCCTTTGTCTACCACGATTATTTCGCTTCCGGCGATGGGCTGCTTGGCCACTGCGGTGCAATGACTTCCCTAGGGCTGTTCATTCTCTATTGCTCACGTGTACTCTGGTGATTGGCGGTTCATTTCTGTTGACAATGAAGCGTTTAACCCTCCTTTGTGATCGGGCTCGTTTACTCCTGTGGACAATCATCACGTGTCCGTTCGACCTCGGAAACAAACACCCTCGGTGCCTGCCTTGCTTGCCCTGTCGCAAAAGTTGGCTCCGGAAGCGCGGCGCCGAGTTCGCCATGGAGTACATGAGGGCCGAAGACGAGCAAACAAACTCCATCTGCATTGGCCCGGTCAACAAGGCGTTCCACGTGCTCATGTACGTTCCGCGTGCACCAGGTTTGTGTGCTGTGGCGGAGTATTCCATGTTATTGGTTTTGTTGCGCGGAATATTCCATATCGTTGATTTTGTTCCGTGGAATGTCCCATACTTATCCTGTGTGCATGTATGTCGCCCTTTGTCGACGCTCTTTCGGTACAGTCCTCGCAGATTCAGGGCGCATGTTTTGCCGAGTTTCAATCAATCAATCAATCAACCGATCAAGACGCCCTTTTTCGGCTGCACATTAGTGGTACCTTTGATGCTTGTCCCAAGGGGCAACCTGAAACTTGTGTTTTTCCTTGATTTTTTTTTATGTCTTTGCTTGATTTGCGTGTCCAATCATTTGTTTGCACTACTCTGTAATTTGCTGTCTTTCTTGTTTTGTACTGCTGTCCTTTGGCCTGTTTGCTCGACTATTCTTCGTTGTCTTATGTGCACTTTGTGCCCCTTGTACATGACGAAATAGTTCGTGGGTGGACGGCGGCAAGAAGGCCTCTCATGAGGCGTTCCAACGGCACTTGCAGCGCGTGGATGACTACCTGTGGGTCGCGGAGGACGGTGTGAAGATGCAAGGCTACAACGGNGGGGGGGGGGGGGGGGGGGGGGGGGGGGGGGGGGGGGGGGGGGGGGGGGGGGGGGGGGGGGGGTGCGAGAGGGAGGGGGAGAGAGAGAGAGCCACACACAGAGATGAAAGACACTTATTTCGTCGCCGTGCGGGTATTGCGAGGCAGGAGGGTGCGAGAGGTAGAGGGAGAGGAATTGAGAGAGGGACGACAGAGACAGAGGGTCAGAGAGACACAGACAGAGGGACTGAGGGAGAGACAGAGGCAGAGAAAGACAGCAGAGACAAGACATACAGAGCAGACAGACGGAGCCAGAGACGAACAAAGTTGGAGAAAGAGCACGTCAGCGAGAACGCCTTGACGTTTGGGTTACAATTGCGTGCTTGAAAGGGACGGTGGAGACTTGCGGTTCTTTGAACCATGTTTGGGATAGTGTAACGCTTACGAAGGCTCGCGTAGCGGGGGTGGTGCTGGGCGTACGAAAAGGGAAAATTTGATCATCCGCTGTTGATAGATGCCGGTTGGCGGGGCTGTTTGTCCTCCGCAAATCTTTTGCGCTTGCCCGTGTCCTAAATCCCCACCCGCCTCCGTTGCTGTCGCTGCTGCTGCTGCTGCTGCTGCCGCTGCCGCTGATATCGCGCAGGCTTTGGCGGAGTCTGAACTGTGCGAGGATTTCCCCGTTTGCGCGAGTAAAGCGTGGCGCTACCTCGAGGCTACCCAGATCAAGTTCGACGAGAGGGAGCGCGACAAATACTTCCGGCACATCTCCAAGGTGCACATGCTCGATTCTTCTTGCACTCCCGAGTGGAAGAAGTCAGTCTTGCACTCGCATGCGGTTTTGCTGGCGGCTACATAGCCAGCGATTGCAACACATTTCGCGTGGCAAAGCGCACAATTACATACGCACTTTGCAGATCCAGCTCATTGCTATCTGACCGTCGGTATTTCCTCGCAATGTTGCACGCGCAGACGTTCACCAGACGAGAAAAGAAGAAGGTATTCTGCCTCTCCTGGCGATCATAAATGTTAATTGTACTCATTCCCTCCCACGGGGACGAAGCTCGTTATTATTATTTTTTTTTCTTTTGCTCATTCCCCTAGGACGGGCGCCTTTGTCCTTTCCAGTCGATCAGCCGGTTAGCACTTAGCACGTAGCACTTAGCACTTAGCACTTAGCACTTAGCACTAGCTCTTAGCACCATCGATACCGCTACTACCACTGTGAATCGAACTACCACACAAACACACGCTCGTCCGGAGGTAGCACGGTGATCTCGAGTCCCTGGAAATCTCAACCACGCCCCGAGCAACTTCGCACAAGAAGTACGTGGGTTTCTTGACCTAATTCTTGCTGTTGATGTCCTCTCCATAATTCGGCGATGAACCACCACTGCCGGCAGGGAGGCTGGCCGTTTTCCACCGCAGCACACGGATGGCCGATCTCGGATTGCACCGGAGAGGGTCTCAAGGTAAAGTGTTTGCCGGGTATATTGCCCTACGTTGTTGTTACTTTTAGTGTTGTCGTTGTCGTTGTAGCTGTCGTTCTGCTGTTGGCTGACGTCAGGCACACCGCCCTCCCGGTGCGGGGGCGGGTCTCAAGGTACAGCGGCTACGATTGTGGCTTTGGTTGTTGGTGCTGTTGTCTTCATCGTCGTCCTCGTCGTCGTTCAACTGGCTGGCTGTTGAATTGACACGAACACCCTCCGTCTTCATCTTCATTCTTTCATTCAGTGCATCGCTCAACCAAGATCTCGGTACCCATAGCCTCGTCTCTCGGTGATGGCGCATTGGCGGTCCTGCCGCATCCTATACATTATGTACACTGTATGTGACACCGGTTTGGGCCTCCCCGATGTCATTTGTAGGTGCCAGTGCGGTCCTCGTCGTTTCGCAAGAGGATGGGTCTTTTTCGTTCTGTGTCGTTTTCACCAACCTGTGTTTTTTGGTTTTGCCTGTGACTTCAAGCAGAACAGGGGGTCGTGGATGGGGATGCCAAGGGGGATTACATTTCGTGAAGTAGCTGCAGCGGCAGCAACAACATCAGCAGCAACAGCAACAACGACAGCGGGTTTCTCTGCGCCGTGGGCCTGCACGCGTTGCCTTGCATGCGGCGAGATTCCCCCCCCCCCCCCCCCCCCCCCCCCCCC